CGCAGAGTCGCGCAGAGTCGCGCAGAGTCGCGCAGAGTCGCGCAGAGTCGCGCAGAGTCGCGCAGAGTCGCGCCACACTGAACAGCTTTGTGTTCTCTCTCTCTCTCTCACTCCCTACGAATTCACAGAAAATATTTGTCATGCCAAACATGGACGACCTGTACGTTCCCATAATGCACTCGGCGATGGACGCGCGGTCCCAGGCCGCCTTGGCCCCCGCGGCGGACCCCCCGAGGGACCAGGGCGAGGCCGAGCCCTGTGCCGAGGGGCAGATGTGAAGATTCGGGGTCTACAGTATTACGACACGGAGGCCCGCTGGGCCCTGCGCATCCAGACTGTGCCTGTGCCACAATCCCCCCTCCTCCCCCAGCCCTTTCCCACCCTGCCTCCTTCCTCCCGGGAGCCAGGGGGCCCCCGGCACGCGTCCTCGCGGCTCCGAAGGAAGGGCTCGCCGTGAAGCGTGTCAGCCGTTTGCTCACTGCTGTATTAGCTTTCAGAGGGAAGATGCAACACAAAGAGAGGTCTGTATTACTGTCGGTGGTCCATGTCCATGAAGGCGAACATGTCTAAGAGTGTACCGACTCACGGAAGCCTGATCCACCCGCCACCCTCCTCTCCGTGCGGAACAGCTGGTTAGGCAGGCAAAGCAAGATGGCGACTCAACGCCTCTCTTGGGGAAGAACGCTGCCATCAGGGGGTCTGAGAATCTAGTTGCGGGTCCCGCCCTGCACTCACCGGCAGAGGGCCTGGCGAACGGTGGGCGACCTGTGCGTGAGAGGAGCCCTCCCCCTGAGGGGGTTCCCCCGTCTGTGGCGGTTGTGCGCTTGCAGCCGTGAATCGAATCGCAGGAGGGGGCCGAAGAGAGGCTGGGAGGGGTACACGCGACGGGCTATGAGCTTGTCTGGGTGAACAGTTTGTGCAGTACGTGCGATCCGCTCCCCGCTGCAGTGTAGAATCGCAGGTAGATGTGTTTGTTTTGTTCGCCGTGGTGGCTGGGCGAACAGAGCCCAGTGTGTGCACTGCTGTGTGCTCACCCAATTTCCCCCTCAGGCGTGGCTGACTGTAGCACAGGCAGCTCCCTGGCCGTGCCCACGCCTCCCCGAGCCAGCCCTCGGATGACCCCGAGGCCAAGCCACAGTCTGTCAGCTGAACTGATGAGCCTCCAGCCACAGCAGGCCAGGGGGCTTTTATTACACAGGCATATTGTCTTTTCAACTGTCAGTGATTCCAGAAGTTCATTTTGAACTAGTTATGCAGTCCTGGTGTACAAAAAAAGCCCTCTTTCCATATGTGCTCATCACAAGCCTATATATAGAAATATATATATATAAAGATGTATATAGGTGCTTTAAATCTTTTTAAATGAATGTATGATCATGCTGGGCAATTTCAATGTTCAGTTTCTGAATGCAGTTCTTACCAGTGTACAAGATTAATGGAGCTGAGTGGGCTCTGCAGTACTGCACTACAAGGAAGGCAGGTCAGTGAGCATATGAATTATCCAACTTTTTTCTATAAACACTGTTTATATATGTATATACACGGTACATATATAAAGAAAAGCTGAGAATTGAGCGACAGCACATGTCAATTTCAGCTGTGCTCTGCCCTCCTGGCTCCAGCTGAAGGGACCTGGAGACTTCTGCAGACACAGACCTCTGAACGAAGGAATCGATGTCATGTCACAAACGTTAACTAGTGAATAAAAACAGCCATAACCAAGAATTGTTAGCCATATGATTCAAAAACCTTCTGTGAGCCATCTGGGGTCATACAGTACATGCTTCCTTTAAACGTTCTTCATGGTTTTTAAGTGATCACTAACACCGCGGGTTTTAACTGAAGCTGCGCCCAGTCCCTTCCTGTGGGGAACACAGACTCTCCTCCACACAGCTGGGGACCCCATCCAACATCTCCTTCCTCCATCAACACTAACTGCGTACGGAAATATTTATTCCGAAGCGTATTTATTTTGGACCCAGAGCAGCTTCCTTCTGACCTTTGATTCTGCCTGGGGCCACACTACCGGACTGTCGGACCTGCAGCTTGTTTGCGGCCTTGCTGAGGGGTTCCCCCGCTCGCAACGGGCCTGGTCCTCCGGGTTCCAGGCAGGTCACGAGGGAGAACCCCTCACTGGGGCCGGGCCGGACCGACACCGGGCCTCTTCACTGCTGGCCCCACCTCGCTGTGAAGGACTCTCTCGAAAGGATGGGAACAGTTTCTAGCTGTGTTTTTTTTTCCCTGGAAGAATTTTGTATGCCTTATTTGTTCTCCCGTTATGAAGAACCAGTCCCAGAAGCCCTGCGGGCCTGCTGGACTGTGCTTGGTGCGCCAGGTCCGTGATATTGCAGGAGATGCGATCTGCCTTGATTTTTCTTAATTTGTTAAAGATTCTTGCTTTGTTAAATCTTTTTTTGTATTATTTTCAGTTTTGCCATAATTGTTAATTTATTAATTAAAATTGAAGAGCATTCCTATCGGTATGTACAAGGCCATCTTTGATATGACTTTTTGTGAAGTTTCCCTTTTTGTGAAGGTTGCATGTCCTAGTTCTGTTGAACAGCTCTCCTGTCTCTCCAGGCCATGTGCAATAACTTTTTAAAAAGTCCAAGGACAAGATGCACTAATTATAATGTATTCTTTAACGTGGATCATATCACAAATCACACTCATCTGTGGGAAACTGAAGTAAGCTTGCTGTTTTAATAAAGTTTCTCCATTTTTCCCTTTACATCTCTGTTATTATTCCGAGGCTTTAGTGCTGTCAACTACTGCTTTTCATTTTCATGGACACAAGGGGGACTAGCAAGCAGAATCTGAAGCACAGCCTGCCCGTCACCAGTGTGTCGCTTATAGCTCTGTCCCCACATTAGCGGTAATATTGCTTGACTGCTATGGACAGCAGCAGCAGAGACGGCTCAATCAGTATAAGATCTGGGCCACCTAATGTCCCTGTACACCACTCTCTCAGCTCTGCACCTGAGCTCTGTGGTGGAGGAAATGGGTCTCTTGAGTCAAGCAGAGACATTGCACTGCTTCAAGAACAGCCAGTATCCAAGTGAAAGTGTTACTTGGGACAAGAAAGTCACATAACCATCACTTTCCTTAGAATTCTATTCACAAAGAGATCACCTTTCTAAATTAAATCAGAAAAGCTTATAATTGGTGGCTGTCTGCTCCATACCCCCTCTGCATTCTAAACCCTCACTTTAAGGTCTTTTACTCCTCTTTTGTACTAGAGGAGCACTTTTGAAAGATCAGGACCTATTTCCAGGATTGCTGCTGCTTTGAAGAGACCCAGCAGCCCCCCTCCAGATCACTACCACTGCTCCACACACGTAGCATCACAAGAGCAGGTGTGACTTGCTTTTAAAAGAGCAGCCTGGGTTAGAAAGACCAAGAAGCCCCAGTTATAACAAGTCTGCTTTACTCTGGCACTGTGCTTGGCCTGAGGAATCACTGGGTAGACTTCACAGGTTCAAAGGCAGTGCTCACACAGATACAAGTGAAATAACCACACAAAGACTTAATCCAAGGCACAGTTTTCAGTTTATTAGATAACGGGTGACACTGCTAAACAGGTTCCAAACAGATTTGTCCTTCCTCAGCAGGAGGAGCTGGTTCCTCTGTGCCCAGTCCCGTCGGCTAGGCCGCCTCTTCCTCCACACCGGCCTCCGGGGTCCGGAGCGACCTGCTTCAACAACACAGGAGTAGAGCTGTGAGCGCTTGCAGCTCGAAAGCGGGGAAACAAAAGCAAACCTTAAGAACGGTGATCAGCAAAATAAGTTGACTTCACGATTATTCAGAAGTCTAACGCGTTTGCAAGTCATCATGCACAGCCGCTTCAACGTTTTCCACAGCAAGACAACCCCTCTTTCTGCACCCGGGGCACTTACACCCTGCGCGCCTGCAGTCTGGAGCGCCGCTACCACGCCTGTGCCCAGGCCGGGGGATTCACTCAATTCCGCAACCTGGGAGGAGAAAAAAAAAGAGCTTTAGTTTCACATGATGTGAAAATGTTTTAATTCTTGAGGCCTAGATATAAAGCCGTCTATAAACTGCGATCCACACTACCGTGGACTGGCATCCCAGCGGCGAGCCACGTGGTAGCTCCTGTCCCCCGGCACGGCCCCACGTGTCGCCTCTCGGAAGAGCTGGGTCTCCGGATTTAGCTGGGAAAGACAAGAGACTTGTTAGCTGCAGTGAACATATCACGCTCAATAGGCCGACAACTTAAATCGTGAAAGGAAAAAGAACGTGCTTAGTAAAAACCGGGAAACTAAAAGCCTTACCTTACAAAGATAATCCCACATGCACTATGTTCCCGCAGTTAAAGAATGTAGGTAAAGCATTACTGCACTCATGCTACAGAATATATTTAACTGAAGCATCATTTAACTCGGCCTTTTGACTAAACTCAAGTGCAGCGCCACAAGTCACACCACCCACTGCCTGCCCTGCTGCAAACAAAATGCCAGCGAGCTCTCGCTCCGGCAGGGCATTAAATACGGGAGGCGCTGACGCACTTCCGGTCCATGATTCAACAATTGTACAAATTGTTTTAAAAAATAGAGGAAAACAAATCAGCTGTGGATTTCGGGAATCCCATATTGTATGAGTAATACATTTGAATAATGGCGTATTAAAATATTTTTAAAATAGTTTCAAGACTACCTTGTGAAAGACAGTGCTCAAGGCATTGTGGGACTTGGAGTTTTGTCTGTGGGTTTCGTGAGAGTTAATATCATAAACTTTATTTTATATAGCGCCCTTAAAGGTGGCTTCTCAAAGCGCTTAAATACTACTGCCTACTAATAACAATTATTTGGAACAAATATTAATTCTCATTTACAGTCCCCAGTTGGTGAAGTGCTTTAAAACTATTGCTGCACGGAAGGCTAAAGACTATAGGAAAGAAGAGGTGGAATAATTCAAAAGATAAATCACATAACCGCAAGGGGCATTTTGTGACGAATCGCCAGGTCGTCGTTGTCAATGCGAATGTGTTTGCATTTGTCTTGCTCGGTAAAATAAAAAAAATAATAACACCTACAACAAGTGTAAGAGTAACAATATTCTTCCTTTTACACGGCGTTTTTCGTGATACCAGATCTCACGCTTTGTCGTAAGTCAGTTCGGTTTCTCTGCGCCAGGTGCTCCAGCCAAATGACTTAATAAAAACATCTTGATTTGTAGGATGGCATAGAGTGCGATAAATGACGAAGGTAGGGGGGTGTTTTACCGATCAAAAATCTGAAAACTAATTGAAAAACTGAGGCACCCGTACAGCAAGTACACAGCCAGGCCGGGCGCTCGAAGAGTCAGGATCACAGTGATTGGGGCGATAGGGGGCGCTAGTGATAACTGTTATTCGTCAAATGAGACCTAAACCACAAACTCATCGTATTTGGGGAACACTTAAAACAGAACAAGGGAAATTATGCTACAAGAGGGAAGGTTTTTATTTTAGATTTGCGCTATGCTTACTACTCCAATAATGATACTAAAATAGTTTAAAAGTCCAGATGATAACAGGAGAAACAAAAGCGAGCCTTTCAGCTTGTGGTGCCTCAGGTCAGCAGGGTGACTCGATAGCTCTGCGCCCGAGGCATTCACGCCCACACAACTTCAGCACAAAAACACAGTTGAGCTCTTTCACAGCTGGGCGGTTTAAACTAACCTGTTTGCCCCTTTGTATCTGAAATCAAGGGTCTGTGCTCAGGCTACCTTAAAGGACACGTTTTCTCCAAGAGGTACCTAACAGACTAGCAGTGTAACTATATAGCTACATATGCCTAATGAGCATCCTGCAAATATTTCACTGTGTTGGTTGAGGTCTCACTTAGGCCTCTTGTAGGCAACCTGTCTCCTCTTGAAATATTTTACTCCAAATTCTGACCCCTTTTACCTTTGAAAAAAAATCAAATAAGCTCTTAAATTGTTGCAAGTTTGGAAAAATCCTAAGGAAAAAACTCATTGTTTTATATAATGCATTGCATATCTGGGGTGTCTCCCAATTGGAATTTATCCAGGACTCCAAGGCTAACACCCCTGCTCTCGCCGACTGGACAATGGATCGGCAGTGTAATGAGGACTCACATCCCATCGGGCACAGTGTCCTGCGACACAATGCTCCCGCCACAGCTGCAGTCAGGAGGAACGAGCGCCACCTACTGGTCAACCAGCATCACTGACAGCAGCAGCAGCCTAGTTCCCTTTGCCTTCCCATCATGCCTTCCCATCTGCTGTCGGGTGACTCATTATTGTAAGGACTCTGACTAAAGCCTACCCTCTCTCCAGACTTTCTGTAATGGCTTGTTTATAAGTCTGACATGCTGCAAGGTTAGTTGATTGGGTAATAGGGCAACGTTTTCAATTTTCTGCGTGCAATGACAAGACTGCAGTGAATAATCCTGCAATTAAACTGAACTGAAACATCTGCCAGTGCGTGCTGAGCTCGACTGCACCATTCCTGAAGCAGTGCTGCAATTCTCCAGGTTATGATGGGGTACCTGTGCTTGGAGCGGTGGCTCTGTGGCTCAGGATCTGTTGCTGGAAGGTTGCCGGTTCGAATCCCGTGGCTGGCAGAGGAATCCTACTCTGTTGGGGCCCCTGAGCAAGGCCCTTCACCCCAGCTGCTCCAGGGGTGCTGTGTAAATAGCTGACCCCCTCGCTCTGACCCCAAGCTTCTCTCCCTGTCTGTGTGTCTCATGGAGAGCAAGCTGGGGTCTGCGAAAACACACATTCCTGATGCAAGAAAGTGTATAGGGTTAATAAAGTGATCTGATCTATCCTTTTGTATACAGTACCTACTGAACAGTGAACAACACCTCCTACTAGGGATCGCATTCCATACTCCTCGCAATGAACTCTCTCACACCTCTGCAAGACGTCTATTGGTCCTGCAGTGGAAAGCAAGGTGTTATTTCATTAAGGGTCCTAACCAGTCTGTGCGTTACTGACTGACAGAAAAAGGCAGCGGTGGAGTTTTGGATTTTTGCAAAGCGCACAAAATACGGAGTGAAACGGAAAGACGTAAAACAAAAAGATTGCACATCTCATTTTCTCCCCACTGCCCTCTGGTTAGCGTTATAGGAGCATGAAGGCACGAACCTGCAGACTCAGAGAGAGTTTCTTCCCACAAGCTGTCAGATGACTGAACTCTACTCCTACCACTGACTCACACTCATGTGTTTTAAGTTGTATGTTATTTAACCTGTTGTTGTTGCTGCTGCTGTTCTGTGTTTAGGTTTTTGGTGATTCCTTTAATGTCTGTGTATTGGAGCAAACATGCAAATAAGCAGCATTTCATTGCTATGAACTGAACTGAACGTCGAGACAGCAGCCCCATGCGAGGGGCGATCTTTAGCCACACCCCCTGGTGGCGTCGACAGTGACGTCACGCCCGGGGTGTACCACAAGGAGAGGGGGAGGGGGGGGCACAGGAAGAGTCGGAGTACGAGACGCTAATGGAGGAGACTGTTTATCCACGGCGGGCTCGTCGGCACCGTCTCTGCTAGCGCTGCGCTTCCCCAACGGTTCCGCCGGCCGGCTGACTGTGTGAAAGCGAGCGCCCCGGCTGTTGTTGTTTTTCTTCGGGAAGGATGGGCCGCAGCCAGTGCGGGAGCCCGGCTCTGCTGTGCTGTGTTGTCATGTTGCTGTGCGGGGTCCTCCGGCAGGCGGTGAGTACCGGCCCGGCCCGGCTGCCGGTGCTGTCCGGGGCGGGGAGGCCGCGGGCGGTTCGGTTCGGAGGAGCCCGGAGCGCAGCCGGCGCTGCTGCCGAGACCCGGGTCCGGGAGGCTCTCCCGGCCCGGGGGGGACAGCCCGGCGCTCCGGGACTTCATACTTCTCCAGATTCACAGGCTGTGGAGACGAAGCGTGGATGCAGGTCGTCGTGGAGCTGGGAGCAGGAATGAGTTCGTCTCCAGTTGTTTGGGTGGGAGGGAGAGACGGGAGTGCGGTGGTCAAAGACGTGACTTTGATACAGTGTAAGCGCGACTGGAGTTCACTTTGTTTCGCGTGAGGTTCCTTCTGCTTGCTTCGAAATAAACTTTTCGAAGGATTTCAGTCTGTGGCTGTGCGCAGGGATCGCAGCCGGCGCTCTGCTGGTACTAGTTGCCCCCTTCTGTACTGTCGGACTCAGAGTCTCGGGTTTTGCAACCCGGACTCCTTTCAGGAATCTATTGTGAAACCTGACACCCCCGGCTGGGCTGTGGGGTCGATAGGCTGAGGATCACTCTAGGTGAAGTCTAGGTGAAGGGCCAGTGCCAGCGCTGTCG